GCATGAAGAAAAAGTAGACCAAACCCAATTAACAAGTTAACAGAAAAAAAATAATTTATTACTTCGAGTGAAAAGGGAAGTTTAAAAACAGTCACATCAAAAGAAGTATGCAATGAGCTCAACATCAACAAAAAGATTCTATAATGTATTTACAGATAAGAAAAGGCAGAACCACAGATAGAAAGGAGGATAAGACAAATGGAACTGGGAAGTGCTGAAACTAGTAAGGAAACAAGGAGGCCTCTAATGGAACTTGACACATCAAATGCATTAGGACCAGATGAAATATCCCCGCCAATATTAAGAAGATATGCAAGCAGCTACTCACACATATTTAACAAATCAATAATTTGATAAATAGCAAATAAAACTATTATTAAAAAAATGACATGTTGGAAGCTCTGAACTGTAGCCAAGTGTCCATAACAAGTGTAATGTAATGTGCAAACTGCTAGAAAATATAAGAAAAACTTAAGTATCTAGAAAGCCCTAAATTTTTCAGAAAAGAACAGCATGGATTCAGAAATGGAAGGTCATATCTTACAGACATATGAGAAACTAACAAATCAGACAGAAAAGAGGGATAGGTGGACTGTATAATCTCAGACTATGTGGTATGTATGCACCACATAAAACAAATCCTGCAGCACACAGTGCATAATGAGAGAAAAAAGTGAGACCCTAATTTTTTATTAAAACAGCGACTTTGCAGTGTTTTTTCGTATGTTTTTTATAGTTGTATTTGCTATTTCTTGATCTCATTTGATAGAATGGAAGATATATTACAGAAATAGAGATGATTTTGATTGGTTTTAGTACTGGAAATGGCTTGAAACTGAGCTCAAAGTAGCGGAAATGTTAAATTTTTGCCAATGTTCAAGAGTAAACGAATGACCTCACACGTCTAATACTGTACATGCCAAATGATGGGTCTAATATACATTCACAAATGTGGTGATGTTATTTATACAATTATTACAATATTGCATAACAGTAAATCTTCTATTTTTTTGGTTTGAATAAAAATTCATTATGTGAATAAAAAATCAATATGGAATTCATTTGTAAAGCCTGAAAACATAACTAATGAACAGAGGAAATGTTAGTTTAGTGTCAGAAATACCTGCATTATTTATTCTGGACCCTATTTTGAAATTGGAATATTTTGAACCTTGCATTAAATTGGCCAAATTACCAATTTCCAATCACTTTATTTTGTAGTTGAAACAGTTGACTTGGCGATTTCTTGTGCTCAATCGATAGAATTGAAGTAATACTAGTGAAATAGCTAAGAATTTGATCGACTGGAATAATGTAATTGGCCTAAAATGGGAGTCAAAACAAGCAAAATCGCCGATGCGTAAATATCGCTGACACATCAAAATTCGCAAGAGCATAATTTCATCAATTTTCCATCAAACTTTGTAGTACTTTTTGTTTTATTACCTTCAGAAAAAGATTCTCTACCATTTCATAAGAAAAAAATAACAAAATTATTTTTTGAAAATTCTTGGACCCTGGTACACACTTTGAAATTTGGCCTCTGGACCCTGAAAGGGTCCCATTTGTCTTAAGCCCATTAGTGTGCAGTTATGCATTTGTAAGAAATGTTCCAACCATGAAAAAATTGAGTCACTAGATGTACTTTTCTTATTTATACTCTTACTAACTGGCTCTGCCATTAACCCTTTCAGGGTCCAGAGGCCAAATTTCAAAGTGTGCACCAGGGTCCAAGAATTTTCAAAAAAAGCTTTTGTTATTTTTTCTTATGAAATGGTAGAGAATCTTTTTCTGAAGGTAATAAAACAAAAAGTACGAAATTTGACAGAAAAATGATGAAATTATGCTCTCCTGAATTTTGATAATCAGCGATATTTACAAATCGCGATTTTGCCGACTTTGACTCCTTTTCAGGCCAATTACATTTTTCCCAATTGCCCAAATTTTTAGCATTTCACTATTTTACTTCATTCTATCGATTGAGCACAAAAATCACCGCTAAACTTTTTCAACACAAAAAAAAGTATGGGAAAATTGGGTAATTTGGCCAATTTAACCAATTCTAAATTTTCCCAAAATTTCAAAATAGGCCCAGAATAAAAATTGGGATTCATTGCACAAACAGCTTTTCCCCTGTTCATTAGTTATGTTTTGAGGCTTACAAAGAATTCCATTTTGTTTTTTTTAATTCCCATAATAAATTTTTTTATTCAAACCAAAAAACAGAAGATTTACTGTTTTCAATAATTTTAATAATTGCATAAAATTTTATACCACTTTGTGAATGTATACTAACCCACCACTGGTATGTATTAGACGGTGAGGGTTGTTTGTTTACTCTTTAACATCACAAAAATTTAACATTTCCGCTCTTTGAGCTCAGTTTCAAGCCATTTCCATTACTAAAACCAATCAAAATCATCCCCTGTTTTCTGTAATATATTTTCCCCATTCAATAAAATGAGACCAAGAAATCGAAAATACAACAATAAAAAACATACAAAAAACACTGCAAAATCGCTGTTTTAATCGAAAATCATGGTCTCATTTTTTTCCCTCTCTTTAAATACACTGTTGCTGAAATGTTTTGGTTTTATGTGGTACAACATACCACATAGATGTTTTTCCCTCTCATATCTGGGCCCCCAAATTTACCACTCACAGTTATAAAGAGTAAAGCTGAGCTCATGGCGTAGACCCAAAGGGTTTGCCCCTAAAACGTAAAGCCAAATCTAGGGAAACAGCCCCTTAAAAGGGGTTTTAAAAGTTATTTTCCACTCCCCCCCCCTACCCCTTATAAAATACACATGTTTTCAAAAATTTAAAAAAATTTATGTAAATGGTTTGTTGCACAAGCAAAAGGCAGGGGAAAACATGAAAATGTCTTTTTGGGCTGAAAAGGGGTACTGGTAGCCAAATTTTTTAACAAACTTTATTTTATAAAAAATAGGGAAATTATTCAGAAATTTATCCAACAGGGGGTCTAAAATAAAAATAACACAATATTTCAGATAAATAAAATTTTTAAATAAAAAATTTAAGGGAATATTTCTGATGAAACAGGTTTAATTTTAATGAAACCAAAGAGTTTAAATTTTTGCACTAAAATTGCATGCAAATGTACTGAAAACCTTGTTTTAGCTGACAGAAATGTTCTCAAGGTATGCTGTATATAACCAACTTAAATGGATAACTTTCCTATCATTTATATTCTCACAGTTTTAATTAAGCAAACAAGTGATGACTAACTATTATGAAGTTAATTTCATAACTGATGGCATCTATATTCTTTAAGTATATTTCCAGTTCCACACTGAAACAATTACAAAGATACAGTGTGAGCTAAATTATTCCAACAAATGATATAACAAAACAAAAGTATGAAAAATAACAAGTACTGTATTTTTAGAACATAAAAACTCTAAAAATTAAAAAAAAAACAAAAAAATTTACACTAAATAAGCAATATCAATTTAAGTTATATCTCATATATAAAAAAAAATAATATTTTTAATAACAATACCGGGTACAAAAATCTGAATGACCATACCCCCGGCCGGGATTGAACCCGCGGTCATAGAGTCTCAAAACTCCAGCCCGTCGCGCTAGCCACTAGACCAGCTAGCCACAATAAGATTCATCCAACTAGGTATATTTCTACACCATAGGAAAGTTAGCACAGGCACCTCTGTGACCACAAATGCAAGTTTTTACAGACGAATCTCCAGCTAGCGTGGCCGTGACGAACTCTAGCTCAAGTCCCTTCACTGCCGTCAACATGACTTAAGAAATCGTAATGACACGATTGCAAATAAACCATACCCCCGGCCGGGATTGAACCCGCGGTCATAGAGTCTCAAAACTCCAGCCCGTCGCGCTAGCCACTAGACCAGCTAGCCACAATAAGATTCATCCAACTAGGTATATTTCTACACCATAGGAAAGTTAGCACAGGCACCTCTGTGACCACAAATGCAAGTTTTTACAGACGAATCTCCAGCTAGCGTGGCCGTGACGAACTCTAGCTCAAGTCCCTTCACTGCCGTCAACATGACTTAAGAAATCGTAATGACACGATTGCAAATAAACCATACCCCCGGCCGGGATTGAACCCGCGGTCATAGAGTCTCAAAACTCCAGCCCGTCGCGCTAGCCACTAGACCAGCTAGCCACAATAAGATTCATCCAACTAGGTATATTTCTACACCATAGGAAAGTTAGAAATATACCTAGTTGGATGAATCTTATTGTGGCTAGCTGGTCTAGTGGCTAGCGCGACGGGCTGGAGTTTTGAGACTCTATGACCGCGGGTTCAATCCCGGCCGGGGGTATGGTTTATTTGCAATCGTGTCGTTACGATTTCTTAAGTCATGTTGACGGCAGTGAAGGGACTTGAGCTAGAGTTCGTCACGGCCACGCTAGCTGGAGATTCGTCTGTAAAAACTTGCATTTGTGGTCACAGAGGTGCCTGTGCTAACTTTCCTATGGTGTAGAAATATACCTAGTTGGATGAATCTTATTGTGGCTAGCTGGTCTAGTGGCTAGCGCGACGGGCTGGAGTTTTGAGACTCTATGACCGCGGGTTCAATCCCGGCCGGGGGTATGGTTTATTTGCAATCGTGTCATTACGATTTCTTAAGTCATGTTGACGGCAGTGAAGGGACTTGAGCTAGAGTTCGTCACGGCCACGCTAGCTGGAGATTCGTCTGTAAAAACTTGCATTTGTGGTCACAGAGGTGCCTGTGCTAACTTTCCTATGGTGTAGAAATATACCTAGTTGGATGAATCTTATTGTGGCTAGCTGGTCTAGTGGCTAGCGCGACGGGCTGGAGTTTTGAGACTCTATGACCGCGGGTTCAATCCCGGCCGGGGGTATGGTTTATTTGCAATCGTGTCTTACGATTTCTTAAGTCATCTGAATGACATGCCAGGATTACATACAAGAGAATCATCACATGTATCAAAGCTGGGAAGCATACTGCATCAGTGAAGTCAATTACCTGTTGGCTTACTAGAAGACTGGAATTCTCTCTCGTGGAGTCTGAGCCAGATCATCATCCAGAGTAAGTAGTAACTGTAATGAATACAAGTTGAGCATTAAATGATTTTATAACACCCAATTCAAAGTACAATAATGAAAGACTCAATTTACATCGAAACAGTTTAATGTTTAGCAAAGCGCTCACTCTCAAGACTTATTGTGAATATATTACAAAATAATGCACATGATACAGGAGGAAGCATTTATATAAAGACTGGCAAGCCTGCCAGAGTGTAAAGCATTTAACAGGTTTCCATTTCACACATATGACAGGATGGCAGTACATCCCTGGGTGGTTGCTATCAACCTATTACCTGTACCTTTCAGTAAAAAAATACAGTAAAACCTCACATTAACGGACCTCTCATTAATGGATCTTAGCAATTTTGGACAAAAAAAATTGGCCAAATGTTGGAAATATCAGACAAAATGGACAAAAGTCTGTAATTTCAGATTATGTCCATAGCAATTGTGTCTAGTTGTCTTTTGACGAATTTGTACCAAGACAGATCACTCTGACATTTGTCTGGTAAGGCCCAGAGCAGCCACGTCCAGCCCCTGTTTGTGTCACTGTTCCCTGAGCTGTAGACCACCCGCATCAGTTTATTGTTTGTGATCCCTCATGCTTACACTCATAATTTAGTCTCTCATTTTCCCTCTATTTAGAGTATACTCTCCATAACCATGGGTTTTCTACATGCATTATTAAGTATCCCCCATTTCTGTACAATATATCATGTGAAAATAAATTTTGAATTTGAATTTAGTGTAGACGTTAGTGGAACTTCACATCTCCTCTGACTCAGAATAAAAGTTGCTTGGTCAATACTATTCATCACATCATTTTACACCTCATCTCTCCACCATGAAAAGGTAAGTAAAATTACTGTAAATTACATCCAGTATTATAAAATTATTGTACAGTACAGTACTATACCGTAGTGATACAAGTTACAATATACTTGTATTCTTAGTGCCCAGTTGTCTTCTGCAATAGTGGACCAAGTCCACTAGCTCAGAAGACTACCAGATGATTCTGAAAAATAATTTTGTAATTCAGAAGTTTCGGACAATCAACAATACCGTACACACTCTCCCTCATATCAGTTTGTTAATGAGAGGGTTCATTGTATGCTAAAAATTCATTACACATGAAAAGGTACAGTTCACTTATCTCTTGATCTAAAAATCAAGTCACAAATACAGCTTCTCCTCACTTAGTGACGTAATCGTTTACCGACAGCTCGGACTAATGACGGGCTCTCCGACCAGTGTGCATACCTAAATACTGTATGTTAGAGCTGATTTCCTCTATTCTGTTTATTACAATATACAGTACACTACTGTATAAGCATTTAAAAATATACCAGAAATATTATAAATGGTGCGGCGACATTAAAACAATATAAAAAATGGTTGACACAAACCCACTACCATTATAGTATGCTCCTCACTTAGCGACGAATTAATTTACTGACATGGTCTTAGGAATGGAACTCTATCATTAAGTGAGGAGAGGCTGTACTTTTAAAAGCATCATTAACCTGTACTTTTAAAAGCATAATTAACCTATTACAGTGGACCCTCGGCCAACGATGGCATCGTCTAACGTTAAATCCGACTAGCGATACATTTTAACGCAAAAATTTTGCCTCGACTAGCGCTAAAAAATTCGACCAACACGATTCGTTCCATTCGAGACGCGTCCACTTGTGGCCAGTGTTTACAAGCCAGCCAGCCACCGCGGTCCCATCCAAACATACAATCGGAACATTTTATATTATCACAGCGTTTTTAGTGATTGCACCTGCAAAATAAGTCACCATGGGCCCCAAGAAAGCTTCTAGTGCCAACCCTACTATGGAGAATTACTATGGACATGAAGAAAGAGATCATTGCTAAGTATGAAAGTGGAGTGCGTGTCTCTGAGCTGGCCAGGTTGTACACAAAACCCCAATCAACCATCGCTACTATTGTGGCCAAGAAAACGGCAATCAAGGAAGCTGTTCTTGCCAAAGGTGCAACTATGTTTTCGAAACTGAGATCGCAAGTGGTAGAAGATGTTGAGAGACTGTTACTGGTGTGGATAAATGAAAAACAGATAGCAGGAGATAGCATCTCTCAAGAGATCATATGTGAAAAGGCTAGGAAGTTGCATGACAATTTAATTAGAAAAATGCCTGCAACTAGCAGTGATGTGAGTGAATTTAAGGCCAGCAAAGGTTGGTTTGAGAGATTTAAGAATCGTAGTGGCATACATAGTGTGATAAGGCATGGTGAGGCTGCCAGTTCGGACCACAAAGCAGCTGAAAAATATGTGCAGGAATTCAAGGAGTACATAGACAGTGAAGTATTGAAACCTGAACAAGTGTTTAATTGTGACACTGACAATGTTGTGAAATACTTTAGGAATGTCATAAAGGAACGGGAGGTACAGGCCTCTATGGACAGATATGTTGTGCGACAGAGGTCCAGTGACTCTCAAGCTGGTCCTAGTGGCATTAAAAGAAGAAGGGAAGTAACCCCAGAAAAGGACTTGACACCTCAAGTCCTAACGGAAGGAGATTCCCCTTCTAAACACTAACACCATCCACACTCTTCCCTCCTCCCATCCCGTCAATCATCACCAGATCTTCAATAAAGGTAAGTGTCATGTAATTGTACATGTCTTCTTCAGTTTGTGTATTAAAATTAATATTTCATGTGGTAAATTTTTTTTCAATACTTTTGGGTGTCTTACATGGATTAATTTGATTTCCATTATTTCTTATGGGGAAAATTAACTCGACTAACGATAATTTCAATTAACGATGAGCTCTCAGGAACAGATTAATATCGTTGGTCGAGGGTCCACTGTAGTTGTAAACAAAACTCTATACTGTACTTACCATAAAACCAAAGAACATGGCCCCAGCAGATAAGAAGTGCCAAATATCATGCGTATCATAGAAGTGAAGCAGCAAACACTCATGATTATACTGACGACTGTGTGCTGGTGTCAACTCCCAGGTGGTGGTGTGTTGTGTGTAAAAGAAAATAGCTGCTGCCCACCCCAGCAGACACAAGACAAGATACACAAGTGGCTGAAGCTGTAGCCGTTCTTTGTGGCGTAGCTGCAAATATTTTAATACATTAGAAGAATAATTACTAAATTTAAAAAGAAAAACTTTTGCTTTTCTTTTTAAATTTAGTGTGACCTATAATGAAAAATTTTCGTTTTTCTTTTTAAATTTAGTGTGATCTAAAAATAAAAACTTTCGTTTTTCTTTTCAGGCCACACTGCCTTTGTGGAATACAGCTGGTTCACTGAAAAAATAATAGAAAAGTAATGAGTCATTATACTGTATTTGTGTAAAGAAAACTCCATACAAGGGGGAGCTGTATCAAACTGTAAATCAGGGTAAACAGAGCACTGAGCAGCAGAAAAAATGAGCACCAACTTGAAGCAATGAAGCAAAAACAGGTGTGGGGAAGATCAGAGCTATGAAGTTCAAGTTGCCATACTTTGTTATGGGCCTGAGTCAAACTTACACATGGATTAGACCAGGGGTCCCCAACCTGCAGTCCAAGGGCTGCATGTGGCCCTTCCAAGAAATGAATGCAGCCCTCACATGAAATTATGAACTCATTTTCATGTAGGTTCCACACTGCACAGTGTCAACAATTGCAATGCGCATATTGTTATTATTTTATTATCACACCAGCCGATTCCCACCAAGGCAGGGTGGCCCAAAAAAGAAAAACTTTCACCATCATTCACTCCATCACTGTCTTGCCAGAAGGGTGCTTTACACTACAGTTTTTAAACTGCAACATTAACACCCCTCCTTCAGAGTGCAGGCACTGTACTTTCCATCTCCAGGACTCAAGTCCGGCCTGCCGGTTTCCCTGAACCCCTTCATAAATGTTACTTTGCTCACACTCCAACAGCACATCAAGTATTAAGTATATTGTATAAGTATATTGTTATTATTAGTAAAAATTTCAAAAAATACAAAATATGGCCCTCCTTTAAATTTAGCTTTTTTAACTGGCCCTTTCATACTAAAAGGTTGGGGACTACTGCACAAGACAATATCAACACAAGACAATATCAGTGGTGACCTTTACTTAACTCAGTGGTGACCTGTACTTAGCTCAGTGAGGATGTGTCGAGTGTGCTCTCTGTGGACTGAACCAAGATGCCCTCCATCGAGCAACTTTACTAGCAGCTTAAGGAAGAACTGAGGGTGGTGAAGATGGAGATACAGCGATTGACTGAGGAAAACAAGAGGATTCATAGTAGTCCTCCTGTTGTGAGTCCTCAGGTCAAGAAGGGAACCTGGACAGTGGCTTGACAGCATGGAACGAAGTTGACGATCAAGAAGACGAATGGAAAGGTAGAAACGATGAGGAAGAAAGAGACTGCTGTGGAAACTGTTGTGGAAACATCTAATGCATTCTCCATGCTACCCGACTAATGTGAGTCGACTATTGGGAACGTCACGACAAACGACACCAAGGAAGGTAAGAATATTGTTGTTGTTGGGAATAGCCAGGTTAGGTACATGGATAGGGCCTTCTGCTTGAAGGACAGGAGTAGGAGACAGAGGGTTTGCTTTCCTGGGGCTGGGATGGAGGATATTGTTAGCCGGCTTGACAACATCATGAACGGTAATGGGATCAATCCTATTATCTGCCTCAGTGCTGGAGGCAATGATGTAGGCAAGCATAGAAGTGAGGATTTAGTTAGAAGGTTCAGGACAGCAAATGACATAATTAGGAAGAAGGGGGGAAGCGTCCTGCATTCAGTTCAGCTCTGGCTACCTGAGAAGACACATCAGAAGAAGTGAAATGGCATCAAGAGGCTGCAATCATTCTCCAGATGCATTCTGCTACATATGTGGTCAATTCATTAAGACAAGCGAAAAGAAGTTCTCCGTAATAGCATCTAAAAAATGTGTGAAGTTTACTAAGCATATTTTGGCATACCAGTTGGGGACCAAGATAAGACATGGGTACCTCATGTTGCTTGTGAGCATTGTAAGAGAACATTGGAAGGTAAGAATGTCATTAGTTATATGAAGAGTAAAATCTTGAATAGGAACATTTTTTAAATGAAGTGTATATAACAGAAACTGATTCTTTTGTTCTTTTACAGGATGGTATAGAGGAGAAAAAAGAGCCATAAAGTTTGCTGTTCCTAGAATATGACGTGAACCCACTGATCACCCAACCAACTGCTGCTTGTGCCTGGTGGATCCTTCCAAATGCCAAACTGGGAAAAAATACACCTGCTATTTCTTATCCAGACTTTCCCTCTTCTATTGCACCAGCACCACACTGTGCTGATCTTCCTGTACCTACACCTCCAGAAAGAAGTTAATTGTCAGAAGAAAGCAGAAAATCAGAAAATGAAGAGCACAGTGAACAAGGGAGGAATCTTCATTATCCAAACCAACCAGACCTCAATGACCTTATCAGAGATCTTGGTTTGACAAAGTCAAATGCTGAGCTTTTGATTTCAAGGCTCAAGGCATGGGACTTGGTGGTTGAACGTGTGCAAGTGACAAGCCAAAGAAAATGTCATCAACATTTCTCATCTTGACAATTTCAAAGAGAATATGGGAGCATACTTAGAGGAGCAAGGAGAGCGCTTCCACCAAGATATAATGGACTTTGAATGCAGAGATCAAGGATCTTATAATGAAAACATGATGGGAGACTACATTTGTGGGCTTAAACGGGGAAGTGATTCGTTGCATGATCACAAATCTAGAAAAACTGCTCATTTTTAACTTTGTAAATATGTTTCATCAAGTCTAAAGTAAAATTTGTGTAAATTTTTTACATCCAAAACTAGAAAAAAAATATTGAAATTTAGCCATTTTTTGTCAAAAATTCATCCTCTAAGCCACAAAAGCAAAGTTTAAAAGGGATAATGGGCATATTCTATTGCTTTGCAATAAATGGAGTTGGAAAATAATGCTTACTTGCCAGGAACAAAAACTGTGTTACATAGTGTTATGTAAAAATTAAAAACTATGATGAAACTGATGCTGCCCCTGCCCACCTAGGAGAAAATACAAGGATATGCATGCTTGTCCATAGTTGTGGATCACATTCAGAAAGATAGTTGCTATGCACATGTGTTGAAATTCCAATCCTGAGAGGAATCACATCCTGTGCAAAATGCCAATGTGTAGGAAAATGTCAGACTTGCTCAAGGTATTCAAGTGTTAATGCATTGTATCTAATGATATTACAATAAATTAAGTTTCAGATTAATGTATGTGGTATAGTAAACATATTTACTGTACAGTACTTACCTTCATTATTATGTAGAATGCGATATACAGGAGAAGGTTAGTCAGAAATATAATGAGTAGGTATGAGGCAAAATCCTTGGGTGTTGTCACTATTCCATAAATGGCCAGACCCCAGTTAGCAACGTTTCCCAGTAACAGTAGCACCATGCGGTCACAATACATGGGACGGCCAATTTGTCGCCAATCACTAAACTCACTTAAGAACCAAGCTTTCATACGCTTGAAGAGCCCCATATCTGTCAATGAAGAAAATAGTTTGAGGAAAATCTAAAAATTTTAAAAAAGCCTCAGACCAATTTATTTTTATTTATAAAAGCATTAGCACAATTTCAAATTAGTTAATATTAGTACTCAAAATATGTACAGAAATCCTCAATATAATAGACTAACAGGAGAAATGTCGAAGTGTCCATTAAATCAGAGTAACGATAAAATACAGCAGAACCTCGGTTTTCGTCATTAATTCGTTCCAGAAAGTCTGATGAAAACCGAATGCAACAAAAACTGAAGAAAATTAATGTAAATCCAATTAATCCATTCCAGACACCCAAAAGCATTAACAAAAAATACATTTTATAGAGAATAACTATAGTTTTACAGTTTTACATAGAGAAAACAATGAGAAATAAATATAAAAGACTAATAAAATGGATAAATGAGCATTTAACATCACTTTTATCTTTATTGAAGATTCTTGTTGGCGTATGAAAGACGCAAGGAGGGAAGAGGGAGGAGGAGAGGTTATTGGTTGGAAGGGGAATCCCTCTCCATAAGGACTTCAGTTATCAAGTCCATATCCGGGGTTACTTCCCTTCTTGCGATCTGTTTCATTAGCACATTTAATAACCCCTTTCACAACATCAGATTCCTTGATTTCTTTTTTCTTCACCAGGATGGAACTGATCACTGATGACGACTTTCCATACATCCTGGCATGATCGGCCACCAATACACCACTTTCGTACTTTGCTACAAATTCTTTCTTGAATTCTATCGTGTTTCTCACCTTCTTTATCAAAGGGCTGGCACTCGGAACTTTCTTTGGCCCCATGGTGGCTTATTTAGCAGTCCCACTCAATAAACAAGCACAAAAAACAATGGATTCTTATGAAATGCTTCGGATGAACATGCAGGGTAATGCTCACTCAATGAGAAACAAAGCCAGACTGACTCAGAACGCGTGGGATGATTTGTATGGGCGCAGGTAGGCGGACACATTCGGTACAGTAGACCACTGTCAACTTGATGAAAACTGAGGTGATGAACGAAAACTGGGACAAAATTTTGACGCAAAAAGTCATCGAAACCCAAATTCGATGAAAACCAGGGCCAACGAAAACCAAGGTTCTACTGAATGTTATATCTAGTTAGCCGAACTTGAGTCCTGGAGGTGGGCTAGGACCTCGGGTAGCTTTAAGAAGAGATTGGACAAATATATGAGTGGGAGGGGCTGGGTTTGATTGGTGTCAATGGGTACGGGAGTTATTTCTTGGGTAGCTTTAGGTAGAGGTCGTTTTGATAAGGACCTGCCTTGCATGGGCCAGTAGGCCTTCTGCAGTGTTCCTCCATTCTTATGTTCTTATGTTTAAAGGAGGGGTTTGGGATATTGGCTGTTTGGAGTGACATCTAAACTGTCATATCTGAGCGCCTCTGCAAAGACAGTGATTATGTATGAGTGATGGTGTAAGTGTGGAATGATGAAGGTTTTTTCTTTTTGGTGGAAAGGAGTATGGAACAAGTGAATGTTTTCAAATACATGTATTTTAGAGTTGACTTGTCAGCAGATGGGTTTATGAAGGATGAGGGTAACCATAGAACTGATGAATGAAAAAAGGTGAGTGGCGCATTGAGGTATCTGTGGAGACAAAAAATGTTATCCATGGAGACAAAGATGAGAATGTACGAGAGTATAGTGAAACCAACACTCTTATATGGGTGTAAAGCATGGGTTATAAATACAGCAGCGAGGAGGCAGCTGGAGGCAGTGGAGATGTCATGTTTAAGGGCAATGTGTGGTGTACATATTATCCAGAGAACTTGTAATGTGAAAATTAGGAGGAGGGTGTAGAGTTACTAAAAGTATTAGCAAGGCTGAAGAGGGGTTGAAGTGGTTTGGTCATTTAGAGAGAATGGAACAAAGTAAGAATGACTTGGAGAGCATATTAATCTGTGGGGGAAGGAAGGCAGGATAGGGGTAAATCCTCAAAAAGGTTGAAGGGAGGGATAAAGGAGGTTTTTGTGAGCGAGGGGCTCGCTTGATTGTGTTAAATAGGAGTGAATGAAGACCAATGGTTTTTAGGGCCTGATGAGCTGTTGGAGTGTGAGCAGGGTAATATTTTGTGAAGGGATTCAGGGAAACCAGTTAGCCGGACTTGAGTCCTGGAAATGGGAACTATAATGCTTGCACTTTAAAGGAGGGGTATGGGATATTGGTAGTTTGGAGGGACATCTAAACTGTTGTATCTGAGCACCTCTGCAAAGACAGTGATTATGTATGAATGATGGTGAAAATGTTGAATGATGATGAAAGTTTTTTCTTTCTTTTGGGTTTTTTCTTTCTTTTTGGGTCAACCTACCTCGGAAGGAAAAGGCCAGTGTGTTAAATAAATAAATAAATAAATAAATAAATAAATAAATATAATTTTTTTTCAACAAACCAGCAGTATCCCACCAAGGCAGGGTGGCCCAAAAAGAAAAACGAAAGTTTCTCTTTTTAAATTCAGTAATTTATACAAGAGAAGGGTTACTAGCCCCTTGCCCCTGGCATTTTAGTCGCCTCTTACAACACGCATGGCTTACGGAGGAAGAATTCTGTTCCACTTCCCCATGGAGATAAGAGGAAATAAACAAGTACAAGAACTAGAAAGAAAATAGAAAAAACCCAGATGGGTGTGTATATATACATTTTTATTTTATTTATTTATTTATTTATTTATTTAATGTCTTTGCAAACAGTACATTGAGATTGTGTATATACAATTGTGGGTTGCAATACAAAGAGAGCCTCTATTATGCCTAGGCATTATAGGCCAACTTAACATTATTGGCTTACATTCTACTTAATACTAAGGAGTAGTATATCATAGTTGTACAGTAGAAAAGTAATTATTTCATAGTTGTACAGCAGAATATTAATTATAAATGAATCAAAATTTGTATAATACAAAGATATACGTATTTTTATTCTAAAATGCTTTTGTGAAAAACAATGATTCAATTATATTCCTGTCAACAATGGATAAAAGGTTCAATGTGATTGTTTCAGTTATGATGTGGGAGTACATAGGTGAGTAAATGTGTACAGAGTATTTAGCATTTAGTCTAGGGTGATTAAGTGGCTTTTGAGAAGAGTCTTAAATTGATTTTCAAACTGGGTTACTTTAATATCTTCTAGTAATGAATTCCATATTTTGGGGCCCTTTATGTGCATAGAGTTTTTACACAGTGTGATATAGACACAAGGTATATCAAAAAGAGATCTGTGTCTTGTGTTGTGGTCATGTGCCCTGTTTAGGTTGGTGAGGAAAAGTTTGAGTGGGGGTTTATATTTGTGTGTATTGTTCTGTGTATGTAGTAGGCACATGAATAAGTATGGATGTTCTTAATAGTAAGCAGATTCAGACTTTTGAAAATTGGTGGAGTATGCTGGCAGGAGTAAGAATTTGTTATCATTCTTACTGCTGCCTATTGCTGGGTTATTAGGGGTTTTAGGTGATTGGATGTTGTTGATCCCCATGCACAAATTCCATATGTAAGATAAGGGTATATGAGTGAATGGTACAGTGCCAGGAGAGCTGATTGTGGAGTGTAGTACCTTATCTTTGATAGTATGCCTACAGTCTTGGAGATTTTCTTGGTGATTTGTTGTATGTGTGTCCGGAACTTAAGGCTACTGTCAAGGTGGATACCTAGGAATTTTCCCTCTGTGAGTCTTGTGACTGATGATCCATTTAGCGTAATGTTAATTGGATCATTTGCAGCTTTGTTTCCAAACTGAATGAAATAGGTTTTATCAGTGTTCAGGGTAAGTTTGTTAGTCATCATCCAGGCAGATATTTTCTGTAATTCAGCATTGACTGTGTTTGCTAGTATGACTGTGTTTGGGTGAGAAAATACATGTGTAGTGTCATCTGCAAATAATATGGGTTTGAGTAGCTGTGATGCATTCGGTAGATCACTGATGTAGATGAGAAAGAGGAGTGGTCCAAGGATGCTTCCTTGTGGGACTCCTACTGTGATTGGTTGGGTGGAGGAGTTTGCATCATTTGTATACACATATTGAGTTCTGTTACTAAGGTATGACGTTAGGTAGTTGAGGGAGTGGCCTCTGAAAACCATAGTGCATTAATTTGGAGTACAGTAGTTCATGGTCGACTGTATCGAAAGCTTTATGTAAATCAATGAAAATGCCCAGCGGGGCTTCTTTCTTTTCAAGTGCGGTATATATTAGTTCTAGCAAGTGTATGATAGCGTCATTTGTGCTTTTATTATTCCTGAATCCAAACTGATAAGAGTTTAATATGTTGTGTGAAACGAGGGAGGAATAGATCAGTCTATGATTAATTTTTCAAAGATTTTAGAGAGCAGTGGTAAGTTAGATATTGGTCTATAGTTATTCAAGTCAGCTTGGTCACCTCCTTTATGGATCGGAGTGACCCTCGCTATTTTGAGGATTGTTGGGAAGGTAGATGATTCAATGGAGTTGTTAAAGAGCGTTGCAATAATTGGTGACAATACTTGAGAAGCTTTTTGTACATAAAAGCAGGCAAGTTGTTTATGTCTCCTGCCTTGTTTTTAAGGGTGTTTATGATGAGCATAACTTCAGTGGGGTTGGTTGGAGCTAGGAATAGTGTATTTGGGTAGGTTCCTATGAGGTAGTCTGATGGACGGGCATTTGTGCTTGGTATTTTGTTTGCTAGATTTTTTCCTATGTGAGAAGAAAACATTAAATCTGTTTGCTGTTTTTGGTTGGAGTGAGTAGGGGTTCATCTAATTTTGTTAGTTTGATTGTTTTGTTTTTGGATAGCTTTTTAGTTCCAAGAATTTCAGATAGAGTTTTCCAGGTTTTTTTTCATATCACCTTTGATGTTATGTAATCTATTTTCATAATACAATTTTTTTGACTTTCTTATCAGGCTGGTAAATGCTGACGAGTAATTTTTCGACTGTTCTCTAGTTATTTGACCCATTCTATACTGTTTTTCATATTTGTGCTTTGTGTTAATGGATTTGAGGA